CCTGAAGAAGTCAGCAGCCTGACACGGCCACCCGTGTTGCACAACACGGCCCGTGTCAGGACCACTGGGAGTGAAATTTTTGTGTTTTCTGATTTTTTGCTGTCAGACCTATTTCGAAGGGCATTTGAGACATTTCGCGATGTAATTTGAATTTAGATATAAGAGTCACTTTTTAGAAAGTAGGGGACACTTTTGAACTGATATTAGGATTGACAACTGAGAGGAGAGTTCGGCTGGAAACAAAGGATCGATCAAAAGCGGAAGCAATTGATGATCCAAGGATTTCAACTTGCATTGTAATGATCTTCTCCTTTTCATTTCTAATTGCTTTTATGTTTACCAAGAACATGAGCAGCTAAACCCCAAGTTGTTAGGGGGTGGTCCTAAGTTGCGATGTAATGACTTTTGTTTAATGATTCTATGAGAACTATGTTATTACCTTCATATATTTTATTTTGCATTAATCTTAATCGTATTCATATTGGAAAGTAGAATTCGAATTGTGCTTAGGCTTTAGTCTGGAAAGTCAACCTAACACTTTTGCAAAATAGTATCACGGTTGATATTGCTTAGGAATGAGGATATCCCGTATCACGTATTTTATGGTCGAAACTATTGCTTGATGCTTTTCATGGACACTGAGGAATTAGTGTACAAGAAAATCATCAAAGGGTTTTCATTAAGGAATTAAGACAACTAAAGTGGCCAACTGATAAATTAAGGTTAATAACTAGTATAGCAGAATAATCATACAGGGTCTTTACTCGCATCGTCTCCACTCCCCTAACACTGTTCTTAGATTGATTCATAAGTCCTTATTTACTTGTTATATTACTCTGCTACCAAACAAACCACTAGACCTTTTGTTCATTTGAATCCTAAAAATTCCGTTAATTACTACGCAGTCCTCGAGATCGATACTTGGGATTCTTCCCTTATTACTACAATTGGTAAAAATAGTGCACTTGCTATTTTCCCGATCATCCACTAAAATGTGATTTTGGTGTACATGCAGGAGACTTCCTGGGATTTGTAGTCCACAAAAATTGCATCGAGATTAATCAAAACAAGACCAAGGCAATTTTGGATCTCAAGCCTCCTTCGGCGAAGAAACAGCTCCAATCTTTGTTGGGGAAGATAAACTTCTTGAGAAGGTTTATATCAAATCTAATAGACAAGACGAATGTGTTCTCGCCATTGCTCAAGCCCAAAAAGGAAAGTGATTTTCACTGGGGACAGGTGCAGCAGGAGGCTTTTGACACCATTAAGAATATCTTGCAAGGCCTCCCATTTTATTGCCACCTAGTATGAATAAGAGCATGAAGTTGTACATTGCTACGTCGGACGCAACCACAGGAAGCATGTTAGCACAAGAGGATGATTGTGGCGTCGAAAGACCCATTTATTACCTTATTGAATGTTAATAGATGATGAAACTAGGTACACTATGATTGAAAAGTTGTGCCTATGCTTGTACTTCTCATGCATAAAATTAAAGCAATATATTAAACCAGTTGATGTTTATGTTTCGTCGCATTTTGATGTTATTAAGCATATGTTGTCTAAACCCATTATGTATAGTCGAATTAGGAAATGGGCACTAGCATTAACTGAATTTTCCTTGACGTATGTCCCTCTAAGGGCAATGAAAGGTCAAATAGTGGCAGACTTTATTGTCGACCACGTAATATTCGAATCGTCGTTGTGGATGGTCGACATTGATCCTTGGAAGTTATACTTCGACGGGTCAAGTCATAAAAATGGAACAGGTATTGGAATCTTGATAATATCCCCGCACGGCAAATTCAAGTGTAGGGTCGACGAAAAATGTTCCAATAATGAGGCAGAATATGAAGCCTTAATCACTGGCCTCAAAATTCTTAAAGATCTGGGTGCCAAGAGAGTTGAAATAAAGAGCAATTCTGAACTGGTGATTAAACAGATCACTAGAGAGTATAAATGCACCAAAGAACATCTTATGGTGTACTTCACAATAGCAAAGCGACTTTTGGAACACTTCGAGGTTGTCAGCATTACACACGTGTCCAGAATAGAAAATTAAGATGCAAACGATTTAGCACAAATTGCTTTCGGGTAAAAAGTGTTGGAAGGGAAGCTGAGAGACTTCATCGATCCCAAAAGTTGGAGTGGCAAGCGTTCCGACAGAAAGCTTAACTGAAAGTTTGGGAAATTATGAAATTTTCACTATCAGCAATCTATCACCGTCAGATTGGAGAAGACCAATCGTCGAGTATTTGGAAAATCCGGTGGGAAATACTGATAGGAAGATTAAGTACAGAGCTTTAAGTTATGTCCTAATGAGAAATGAGTTGCTAAAAAAGACTCTAGAAAGGGTGTTGCTCAAGTGTCTGGGAGACGCAGATGCATGCCTAGCAATTTCTGAAGTCCATAGCAGGACATGCGGAGCTCACAAAGTTGGCCATAAGATGAAATAGTTGTTATTTCAGCAAAGGTCTATATTGGCCGAGCATGCTCAAGGATTGCATGGACTTTGCAAAAGGGTGCCAAAATTGTCAAAAACATGCGAATATTCAACACATGCCAGTCAGCAAACTACACATAATCGTCAAGCCATGGCCCTTTCATGGATGGGATTTAGATATCATAGGCGAAATTTGATCAGCCTCGTCGAAACAGCAAAAATTCATCCTCGTGGGTATAGACTACTTCACAAAATGGATAGAGGTTGTACCTTTGGTAAAAGTGGACCAGGAGGCTTTGATCGAATTTATCCAGAATCATATTTTGTATAGATTCAGGATCCCTGAAACCATCACTACAGACCAAGGTTCCGTATTTTTTGGCCAAAAGATGCAAGAATTTGCAGCAAAAATGGGTTTCAAGTTAATTACTTCAACACCGTATTATGCTCAGGCAAACGGTCAAGTCGAAGCCACCAACAAAGTAGTGATTGGACTCATCAAGAAACACGTTGCTAGGAAATCTAAGAATTGGCACAAGACTTTGGATCAAATTTTATGGGCGTGTCGAACATCCCCTAAGGATTCGACCAATTCGACTTCGTTTTGCTTGACGTTCGATCACGACGCCGTTTTGCCAGTAGAGATTTGTTTACATTCAATTAGAGTGCAACATCAGCATGATATTCCGTCGGGGAAATACTGGAACATGATGTTAGACGAAATCGTGGACTTAGACGAAGAAAGGATGGCAGCGTTAGATGTATTACTACGCTAAAAGGCACGATTGGCCAAAACATATAATAAGAAGGTCAGAGAGAAGACCTTTGCATTTAATAATTATGTGTGGAAAGCAGTGTTGCCTATGGATCGAAGGGATCGAACGTTAGGAAAATGGTCACCAAATTGGGAGGGACCATTCCAAGTGATCTAAGTGTCAGTAACAATGCATAACAGATCCAAGAGATGGGTATGGATCAACGAATCCTAAGAGTGAATGGAAAATACTTTAAAAAAATATATAAGTCTATGTTCTAGATAAATCGCATACAACTAAAAGGACAATGAATTGTTCTGATTCTAAAGTGAGTGGGAGTGGGTTAAAGCCCATAACTTAGGACGAGACTAGGCATAATGAGATTTCTTAGAAATCGTGGCGCAGAAAGGCGTCATTATTACGTCAGACATCGTGTGACGCATGGATGATTCGACAGAAGGGAAATGATTGAGTTACTGGGTCAAAACCAAGATACAATCGAAATCTCGCAGAAAATCAAAACGCCAAGTTTCTTAGTCGACATAGTGCTCAGTCGAAACTGGCTTTTTGGGGGACAACTTGTTGGCTGGAAGATTTCGACTGAGAAGAGTTGACGGAAAGGCTAACATGTGGGTCGACAAGTCAAGAAGATGGTGAAGGAAAAGACCCAAGTCGACACCAGCAGAAGATATATCGCAAGTCGACGACGGTAGGAGATGTATTGTGAGTCGATCCAAAGTTATGTCGTCGAAGGTGTCGATTAATGGTCAATGAAACCGACATAAAGTGTGGGAACCTTTGAGCGAGAAGGAATTTGAAAGGCTGAGAACGTGGGGAAGTTACAAAGATGGGAGCAACACGTGTCACCACCAAGACCAACATTGAGAGAAAAACAGTTATTTTCCTTTTCTATTTAAAGCAATGTTCATTTTCATTTAGGAGGTCGCATTTTGTAACAGTGTCAAAGGAATACACTCTGAGTACCAAGCGTTAAAAAAAAAGAGTTCACTCCTGCAAAATGTATAATAGCGTCCACATTTATTTTTAAAGCAATTTACATTACCAAATTTTAAGATATCTTGCCTTTTACTTGTTTACTTGCTTGTTTATCAATTCGTGTACACTTTTTCTTCAAGTTTGTTTCCGACTTACTCTAATCAAAAACCATTCTACTAACATCGCATAGACTTGACCAGATTGTTCTAGGACTTTTTCGACCGGTCCCACAAATAAACCTGTGTTAGGAAGGCAGAGGTTGTTCGCGCGAAAACCGTGTGCGAACACTGGTATAACGACCAATCATAACAATTTCTCAAACCAATAAAAATTTTAATAATTCTCCTAAAAGATATCAATAATAGTCATTTGACCATTAAAAATGATTTCTCAAACAAAAGAGAAGTTCAAATAATTTTCCAAAGAAAATCCAAAAATTAATACTTGCAATTTCTCAAAAAAAAATTACGAGTAAAAAGAAAGAGAGAAAATTTGACACTTCGACAATTCGAAAGACGCAGAGTTATAAGAGTGAGAAAGGAAAAACTTATTTTAAATTTTTGGTGTATTTTAAAATAAAATTGATAATTTTCTTATATAATAAAATAAGAAAATATACATCACATCGAAATTAAATAGTTTTTTCAACTAACATATAATGTGGGATTTGACTTAAGAAAGTTTTCAAATTCATCTTCCTATATTATAATATTAACATAATGTCCCAATAGTAACGCATGTATGCTATGAAAACATTGTTAACATATGGAAGAAAAAAAACTTACAAGAAAACAAAAACAAAAGACCTAGAGTCGGCGACAATAAGCCTTACACATATGATGACAATCATAGTAACATGTTCCACCACAATGAAGAGGACATTCTAATCTCATTCCTTTGCACCGTGTCTTTGTCATACATTCTGCAAACTCTCCCACAACATAATCTTTCACTATGCTCCTTTTACCACCTCTTGGTTTGCTTTCACACCCCCATTTCCACCAACCACCACCACCGCCTCCCCAACCCCATCCCCAGCCACCTCCTCCACCGCCTCCTCCCCCTCCGCCTCCGCCACCCCATTCCCCGCCCCCTCCTCCTCCACCACCACCTCTATCATACAAACTACCTTTGACAACCTTATTGTTGTAGTTATCTTGTTTCTCTTTCCCTTCTTCGTTTATACTTTGACTAGAGTTAGAAAGTGTTACAATTGTCGCATTGCCTTTATTAGGAGAATTGACATTTGTGTGTTTTTCCTCAGCTTTGAGCCTAACCATTGCCATTAAAAGGAATACTATATAGACGACAACCCCATAATTTCTGAAGGTCTCCATCTTTCACCTACCTTCACTAACACACTATGGTGAAAACGAAATGTTATGTTACACATGATGTCTCCTACAAATTAACCTTTATATGTAGACACACACTAATTATGAAATATAATATTCAGTGCCCACCTACTTCATCAGATCCATAAGAAAATTTTAATAGTTATGTTTGATGTTTAGTTAAGGTATCGTAGTCCTCACTTTATACCCTTCAGCCACTTGATATATATGTATTGTCCCCAGCCTTTCCCCACTTAAAACACTGCAGAGGTCCCCTCTTTGCTCTGAGAAATATAATATATTTCTGTTTGCTTGAGTTTTCTCATTTATATTTTATTCAGCTTCTATTTTTCCATCCAAAGCGAAATTTCTAATTCACACATAATGCGACAACAAGAATTTTGTCCGGTTAAACGAAGTCTTAAATTTTTGATAAAATATAATGTCAAATTTTACTTATGTGGTCACTCAAAGACCAATGTGATGTGCTTTAGACCCATCACGATCCAACATACATCATCATTGCCACTTATGGACCCTTGTAGGAATACTATATCAAGCATCATCAAGGCACTGGTTGGTGTAGTTGAGTACGTACACCGCATCACCATATACATCCTAATACCTACCCTGAGTCGTATGTATAAATTACAATTGCTTGGTCTTTAAGACTACGGTTCCATATAATCTATCCTACAAGACCTACTTGATTAGTGGAGACGCATGGTAAAGTTAAGTAGCTACCATCTAAATTAGATAGTCCAATCACTTATACAATACACATGCCTCCCACCAACCACGTGAAATCCAATATCAAACTATAACAGCCATAATGCATATAAAATGACTACCAAAAAATAGTGCACAAAAAGAAGCACCTTTGTATTAATTCCTCGTAATACTAATAAGGTATCATATGTCAGTCCTAATATCAAATATCATCAATTTTTGCCAATTTATACAAATAAAGAATCATACTAATCGCATTGTGGGAGCACAGTCAACAAATAAATAAATCATACAAACTTCTTCGTAGAGAAATGCTGGTTAATATAAACTTCAAAAAAGAACAACCAAATGAACAATTTCCCACTCAATAAGAATGCTGAAGATGTTTAGCCTCTAGCCTATTAAACTTCGAGTGCACTTATAAATCGTCAAGAATGGTCAAGATTTCTGAGACTATTTGGTAAATTCCAGGGAGACAATTTAGTTCTATCATTTTACCATAAGAACAGTCACTGAAACCACATTATCTGACTGCCATTTACATGCAGAGAAACTTCTTGACTGGTCAATTTACAATTATGCCTAATAACCTGTACATAAAATATTTTACAGATTTCCATGTCAGATTGCCTCTTCCTTCTTATTTACCTTACATAGCATGATAGTAATTCTCATAAAAAAATTAAAATAAAGAGGTTAGAGTGGAGCAATGAGGAAAAAGGGATAGAATATAAAGCTAGTTCATGGTACTCTTCTCTTTCTGGGGGTTTTCATGTTCACCTTTGTAAACAGCAAAATAGTTGTCCAATTCAAGCTGCTCCAGAATTTTCGGTGTCATCCCCAGATAGGAAGAGTGGCCTTCTATAATGTGGGTCACATCAACCTGCAAATCAACAAAGGAGATGACACCTTCAAGCAATACACCATTATACTAAGTAAAGAAATTATACAAAGCATTGATGGAAAAGACCTTACATTCTCAATCCCGGGAAGGTCAACCGGTTGGATTCCAGCTAAACCATTAGTAAGTAAACTGTGCATGCACAGAAATATTTCAGTAAAGTTACAAGCTTTTTCTCTCTTAAGAGTATGCAATGTAATAAAACATCAATTTTAATATGATTAAATAATGATAGAACACGTCTCAACAGAAGATAAAAAGAATTATCACACTAAATTACAGAATATAGAACAACACTCCCTCACAGCCAATGACCGGACATGCTCTAAATACCATCTTATGAATTGTGGCTGCGCCTAACTCAACTCTACAAAATCAGCTTTTGAGGTGAAGAATGATCTCACTTATAAGCAGATGTTCAGGCTATATATTGTCCGATGTGGGACCTTTAACACAAATGTTGCTTCAAAGAATACCTGCCTAGTAACAGATATCAAGCTTCCTAATAACTGCCATTACCTGATTCTGCCACTTACTATTTCCTAAACATAAGGAGTGATGATTGATTAGGATAGAAAATCTTTTCTTTTCATGCATTGGTGCTCTATAGAGACTAGAGAGTGAAAATGGAAGCAAAATCACGACTTTCCCATTCCGTGCTTTCAGACTCAGATAGAATGAAAATGAATTAAGCTTCATTTTAAACCTAGTTTTGATGTAACAGCCAATTGTAAGTAATTTTCCCATGTGTCCATATTTTCTTCCTGCTTATTTTCAGCTCAGTAAAAGCTACTTCATGAATCGAGCAATTAGAACCTAACCAATGATAGCAATCATTTGAGATTCTCCATTATATCATCATAATAACAGAAAATACTTGATACCTATAGATGTAATTCAAAATTAGAAAAGACCCGGATGTTAGTAGTACTTAGTAGATGACCAAAATCATTTTTGTTTAAGATTGCAAGGCCTCTGAAATGGTGTTTCCTTAAAGAAACAAAGGAGTTGCATTTGTTAAATTGCCGCACAGGAAGTGTTTTTTTTCCATTAGTGGTGTCTTGTGAGGGGAATCTAAACCAAACGAGTCTCAAGCGTATTAATAACCACTAACTGCCACATCATAAGAATCTATAATTATCAATGTCATTGTGATATATATAACTTTTCCCATGTTCTAATTTCAGATATAACAAAAACTAGCTAAATATTGAACATTACTAGCTCATATATGGAGTATCATATAGATAATACCTGGCACGGAAAGCTATACCAAGTGTCCAGTCATTTGTAGAGTAAGCATTTACAAACCTTCCAGCCACCATCTGCATAGTGGCAGGATCAGTAAAACATAGGTAAAAGTGAAGAAAAGCAATAGCAGGGTGATAAGCAATAGCAGGGTGTTGAGCAATAGCAGAGTGTTGGAAAGATAATACTTCCTCTCATAACAAATGTCATGTTTGAAAAAATTATTTGTCACAAAATAAGTGTCACTTTTAGTTTTCAATGCAATTTTAATTTTTCTTTCAAGTGTACCCTCTAATTAAAACTTTTAATTTATTATTCTCTCACCTTGCATTAATGATAATTAGAATAGACCAATAGTTTATAAGGATAATTTGGTAAAATCATTATTTCCTCTATTTGATTTATCACATTTTTTTAATGTGTGAAAGTGTCCAGTATATAACCACTTATTTTAGGATAAATAGAAATAAGGAATATATTGCTAGAAATTCTCAAAAGTTAATGGATTGATTGGTGCTTTTTTATTAAGTCTAAGACAACTTCTAGGTACCTTTCTAGCTACCTCCCATTTTTCATCTTGAATTGAGATGGGTGCTCCAAGGAGAACAACCCTTTCCACTAGTCCAGCTGTAGAATTAAGCATATCATGTAGATTTTATAATCTAACCAATATAAATTTCCAATATAATTGAAAACCATACAGAAAATATTACCTTTGTCTTCTTTGGAGTCGGCCAAAAATTGAAGACACTTGAAAATGACAAGTGCTCCCAATGAAAAACCTATTAGTGTCACAGGCCTGGATCATAAACAAAAAAAAAGAATATAATGAATTATACAATGAGGTAAGAAAACATTATGATCAACCTTTTGCAATAACATTAGATGGTGTCACCTGTTCCCTTGCAAGCCTTTCAGCAACACTTCAGCAAGTACCTTACCAGCCTTTTCGGATCTGATCCAACAAAGAGGAAAGGCAGGCTAAATATAAAATTAAAATTAAAAAAATGGTAACAATAGATGTCTTACAACATTGATGTTGCTGCCTTATGAAATATATTCAACAAAAGCCACAAGTTAAATTTGTTTATATTCTCCATGACCACACAAAAATTATCAACATAAGAATTACTAAATGTTGATGCCCACTTGATTTTGCAGTAATGTGTGAAACAGAATCTTTGGTGGTATTATATTTATCTATTTTGAGACAATAGATTCAAGTCAGATAAATCAAAGGAGATGAAATGGATCAGAGTAGACTAGTGGATACAGACTCAGATAAGTCTAAAATGTTAAATCCTTGATATCATGAGTAATGTTAAAAGCTGAGAACTGAAAACTTAGAGCACAGTGTCATCTTCCTTGGGATAAATTTAGACCACCACACATTTAATACTTTAAACATTCGTCATTTTACAGGATATAATAGGAGTACTACAACCAAAAAAAGCAAGTACCTGTCCACTGCAATTGCCCATTTGCTGTCTATAAGATCAAATGCAGTGACTAAAGTTGCTGGCCATGCTAATGCTGCTACGAGTGTGCTTAATACTGTCATCATGGCACCTCTTTTCATCAACTCATTCATAAGTTCTACAATATTGACCGTCAAATACTTTTAGTTTGAATATGTGAAATCTATTTGATCATTACTCAAACATACATAGGGTTCAATGAAACTACTTGAAGTGAGCCAGTCCTGGATGGCAGTGCTTAGAGCAATCAAATTTTTAGATTCGTATTTGAGCACATACCTAAACATACAGGTTGTTAGTGTGAATAAAGTAATAGAAATATTGAGAATGTAACTTTGGATAGAAAGCAGACTGGGTTTGAAATTTGAATCCTAAGATATAACATTAGTAAAGTCAAAGGAAAGCTATGGTTATATAAGGAAATCGTCTGCTTTAAGATTTGTGACCATTGGCACAACCTTCCATTTAAGCATATACTGGTTTTTGAAAATAAGAAATTAAAGATGAGGAATAAAATTTCTAATAAAAATAGAAGTTAATAAAAACAAAGTTGATTAACTTGTCAAGTGTAAGGTGCATGAAAACCAATGCTACAGAGAGGAATACAAGGATAAACTGTATTTTGACCACAGAAGAACACATTTTTA